CGGAGAAGGGGGAAAGGTGGCGCCCGAGTAGTCTCCAAGGAGGAGAGGAGGGCGGGGGGTAGGAGGCAAGGGAAGAGGCCGGCGGGGTGTATGGGGTGGAGGAGGAGGGTGCCCAGTGAATGACTCCAAAAACTGCAAAGGAAATTTCAGTTTAGAGGAAATTTAGGAGGGAAGGCGTTAGGGATTTTGAAATTCCAATTAATGTTAATCAAATGCATTAATTGAAAATTCAAAATAAGGAGGGATTAAAGGGAGAAAACTGAAATTAATTTTTAATTTCAGTTTTAAGCGAAGTGGAGGGAAAGTTAATCCTATTTTGAATTACAAATAGGATTTAAGAGATTAAAATTGAGCATAATGGGATTTCCCCATAGGGGGGCCGGCGGGCCATGCTGGAGAGGGAGGGAAAAATATGGAGAGGAGGAGGTTTAATGCTTGATTTGATGATGTGGCAAAAATTCTTAAAAAAACTCCAAATTAAAATATTTTGAATTTATTTTTACTCATGAAGGACTTTCCATATTTGGATTTCCAAATTAGGAAACAATTGAAATTTTGAAATTTCAAATCTCTATTTAATGTTGGGGAAAAATAGGGGGATGAGCGCATGAGAGGAGGGCGTCGGCTTGGTGGTGGCGGCGGGGTGGAGCTTGGCGGCGGTGGGGAGAGCCCTAGGGGCCGGGCGGCAAAGGAGCAAGGGGCAAGAGGGGAAATTGGAAGAACTCTCTAGGGGGAAGAAAGATTGTGCAAAGGCAAAGTAAAATAATAAAAGATAAGATTAACTAGAGAACTCACAAAGAGATCTCAAGGGGGAAGCAACTCCACCAAGAGAACCCTCATTCACTCACAAAGAGAACAAAGTTTGGAAAGTTTTCATTCAATCAATAATTAATCCAATACCAATGATACAAGCCTTTATATATAGGCTTACAGAAAAATAAAAGCATAAAGTCACAATTGCCCTTGGGCTACATAAGTGAAAACATCCCTCATAGGGGTACAAACGAAACATGAAATAACTAATAAAAGAAAAAGAACTAAAAGCATCATTAGATAAAGGCTCTTTGAATCAGGGCCGTCGATTCGCGTCCCCGGCGATGTTTACACCATGTCGAAAATCTGATGCCCTCATCACTGGGCCTTCCCACCACGCTACTTAGAGCGTGTATTGGTAGGTGTCCTTAGACACCGCGGCCGTACAAAATTTCATCCCACCACGCTACAAGGCGTGTATGGGGCCTCAGCAGACCCGTTACCAGAACAAGCAGGGCTCCCCACCACGCTTACAAGAGCGTGTTATAAGGGCTCACCCACCTCGCCGTATGCTTCGGGCACCGGCTCCCCCCTACCGTGCGTTACAAGAGCGCGTATAGGTGGTTCCCCGCTCCGCTGCCAAACGTTAAGAATGGGATTTGGAAACATCATTACCTTTTGCGTAGCAGTGTCAGGTCGGGCGGGGCGATGTCGGTGTCGAGGTCGAGGCCGAGGACTGTCCCCACCACGCTACAAAGAGCATGTATGGCTTACCCGCCTCGTCGTATGCTCGCACCGGGCTCCCTCCTACCGTGCTACAGAGCGCGTATAGGTGGTTCCCGTCTGCTGGCAAGCGTCAGAGAACGGGTTTAAGTTAAAATTTTATTACCTTGAAGGTCCGGCGGGTTGTCTCGTGGATCGAGGCAAAGGAGAGGGTCCTCTTTTTATTAAATTATATGTATATTAAATAATTATAATTAATTAATAATTATTTTTAAATTTAATTTATTAATTAATTAAATTTATTAAAAAATTATTTAAAATTCATTAGTTTATAATTAATCCATAATTAATTATAACTAATTAAAAAGTATTAATTTTAATATATTATAATTAATTAATAATAATTAATTTATAATTATAATTAATTAAAATTAATACTAATTTAAAAATTATAATTTAAATTAAATTAATTATAATAATTAATTAAATAATTAATAATCAATTATAATAATAATAATTAATTAAAATAATAATTTATAATTAATTAAGAATTATTTAAAAAATTTAATTATAATTAAAAATTCTAATTACGGGATTTGGCCGAGAAGCGCGTGAAGGTAGAAAGTTACCTTCCACAGCGATGAGCTCCCGTTTGGTTCCGATCAAAATGTGTCGAGACCTCCGTTTCGGCCAGGAGAGGAGGTCAGGTGCAGAGAGGAGCTCAGTTGAGATTGGGGTTCGGGCCCTAACAGGTGTTGGGTGAGTTCGGCTAGAGAGAGCGTCGGGCTTCTCTGGACGGGATCGGACGGCTGCAGGTATGGGTGACCGATCTCCCTCTCTCTCTCTCTCTCTCTCTCTCTCTCTCTCTCCCCCCCTCTCTTCCCCCCCTTTTCTTCTTCTCTCTCATCTCTCTCT